GAAAATCCTACCACTCTCAGGCCTCACTTCCCACTCACACTCAGTGAAGCTCCTCCAGCTGTTTGAGATTCTCACTTAATTATCTCTTCATTCCCTTTATATTTTACCAATAGCTGCTTCTCTCTGTTAACTCTTTTAGCCATCACCTCCAAATTTCCGCTTCTACCTCTTGTCTCAAATCCCCATTGCATCCGTTAGATTGTAAGTTCATGGGCCATCTAGCTAAGCACTTTGTATAAAAGAACTCCAATGGCTAGATAGCAGCTTATGGACAGGGCTCTCTCTACCTCTTGTATTTGTCTGTGTATATTGTACGTTCTCCACTAATTATACAGCGCTGCTGAATCTGTTGGCGCTTTATAAATATCAGTAATAAATAAATAAATAAATGAATGAAAGACCTTATTCCCTTTCTTTGCTTAAATAAAAATTGGATGTTTAACTTTATAAATACTTAAATGCATTAATGTTGTGTCAGTGCTTGGAAGCTGTTTCTCTTTTCTCAGCAGTACCTACCGATCTATAATCCTCGGCAGGAATCCTTGGTGATCTCCAAAATAGTGTATTCTGTTCATTTTTTTGCAGTGTTCAGCAGTGACTGGGTTAATACATTTCTACCTAAGTGACACATTAATCATGATTCTTGTTTCATACATGGCAAATCTGTCTAATTCATCTTCTCTTTAGAAAACTAGACTTTTATCCTTAATCCTCTAAAAGTAAACAGGAGAAGCAAACCAATCACACTAAGGTCAGGTTCCTACTGGTAAATACTAAAGAAAGAGAAGAGATCTAAGAGCAAATGGAAAGGTGACAATTTAGTTTAGTATGAAAAATAATTGCTAAAACCATTTAAATAACTGTCAGCAAAACCAATACACTGCTCACATTGTTTTTATGCTCTAATGATTAATGTAAAGGTTTTTGTTAGATCGTACAGACATTTCAGTCTTACATTTAATTATAGAGTGTTCCAGAAGGAAAAATGGCAGTTTACTTTTCCTATTCTGATAAATATTGAAAAATATGTTAAAATAGATAGTTAATGCAATGCTAAAACAAATACACACACCAGGCTTTTACCACAGCAATCTCACTTTAACAGTGCTCTCACTACTGCAAGGGATTCTGGGTAGATATATGCAAATGAGCTCAACAAAGAACCACATTTTTGCCCCGTAATTCCACTTTATACATAGATTACTTGGAGTATGTGTCTGTGGCAAAAGCAAGTCTTATGAACTGCCTGGTGTGTGTATTTGTGTTTAACATTGCATTAACTATCCACTTATTTCAGGTGGAAGGGGTTTTCATCCACACTTTTTCCCCACCACAACTTACTTGGTATGTACTTAAAATAGATAGACGGACAGACAGATAGATCAATAGATATTAATTCAATTTGAATAATAAATGAATCACTGATATAATTATTACAAATTGTATTAAACAACTGGTTCTCATTTGGAAACAACCATATTTCTTTAGTTATTTTTAATAGCAAATTAGACAGCAACTTGGGACAATAAATTAATCCAAAATATAAGTTTGAGTTTATTTTAGCCTGGTATATTCTTTTTTTCCTTTCAACCATTTTTTATATTATTTATAAAAGCAGGTTAAATAAACCTTATGGAGGCATCCATTCACTTTAGAAGCATGCAGCTGTTGTCTCAAGTGAGTCGTAAATCACTTGTAGTTACATTTATCAAGGCAATTCTGGGCAGTTCTGGGCCAAAAAAGATTGTTCTGTGTTTGTATTAGTAATCTTTCCACACTTTGCTTTCTATGGGACTTGTGACTGTGATAAATATTAATCAATATTTTCCACAGAACTGATCTATCTAATGTTTTGTAAATATAACCATTGGAACTAACTGTTGCTGCTTGAAAACTCATGACGATTTTTTAAAACCTATTCTCTTCAACATAATGTTTAACTAAAACTTGCGACACAAAATAATTGAATATAGGGACTTACAAGCATTAGTTTAAATGTATTAAAGATAAATGTTAATTTTTCCCTAATATGTGGTGTACCAATCCATCTTGCTTTGCTCTATTAGAGAACTATTAGTAAACAACAACTTTTCTATGTTTAGGCACATATAAAAAAATACTAAAATCAATAAATATGTGTGAGCGCACCAAAATAATATTAATCATTTATTGACCATAAAAACAGGAACAGTGGCAAAAAGTATCTTAGTTCATGTGGAGATTATCCCAGATTTATGTTAGAAAAATTAAAACAATACCTCCAGAGATAGGGTAATATCAAAATTTATCTGTGCAAAAATAAACAACCCTTTTGGGTCAGACTCATGATTCCTGCAAAGCTCTGAACACCAGCAAGATATGGCAAATAAACAGGCAGATGAATAGAGGGGAACCGTGAGTGAGCAAACAATCTCAAAAAGTAAAAATAAACAAGTCAAATGATAAAATATAAAAACACAGGGTGTATAAACTCAGTACTCACAACACGCTCCATGTGGGGCCCTCCACAAACAAATCCAGAGAGATGCGCTGGTTATACAGTCCACAAGTCCTGGGAAGAAAGGAAAACCAAAAGAGGTAAGTGAACAGAGAGCTCTACCCTAAGCTCTTGAGATCGGACTGCCAGGTAAGCTACCACTGAAAAAACCTAGAGAGCTGAGTCAAAGTGTATGTAATAGATCCTCCTCATTTCAAGGTAAGGATGTTTGTTGGGTCCCAGGTTTTGTGTATCCTCCTCTGTGGCCTTAATTCTTCCTGACAAGGTATGCAGCTCTTCCTGTAATATCAAGAGATCAGCATGGTATAACTAGAATATATAATGAAGAAGAGCTTTAATATTAGTCTTTGTAGCCGTGGTATTAGTTTCGTTGTCCAAGGAAGTATCTAGGGGTGCTTGCTCTTCAGAAGAGGAGGCCTCTTCCGGGTGAGCCGTCATTTTTGATGCTGCTCATGGTAAGCCTTACCGCATGACATCCCCGATATTTCAGGTTTCAAACCCATCAGCAGGTGTAGGCTTCTTGGGGCCTTTTCCCATTTGTGAGTCTGATTGACTCACCTGTGGTGCAGTGGGATGAAGGTTAGGGGTAAAAATATATATTTTAGGTATGCAGCTCATGTAAGCCTCATCTGCTTGGGTTGCTGGTTAATAATCTTTTTTTTTTTTTTTACAAATGAATCAAATTTATTTCAATAATATGTTTGGTTTTCTCTTTTTAGTTTTGGATAACATAAAAGGAAACCAAGTCGATTATATGAACTTTAATTTCACAAGGGCAGATCATGCCCAGGCAACCAGCCAATATGTTATTTTACATAAATTATTTAAATCATTGGTACCTTTAGAAACAAAATTGAAAGTTTATGCATTTTATTTGACACAATCATGTTTGAATATAGCGATTTTTATAAAAGAACTTGAAAATATTTAGCATTAATATGCGCAGGATATAAATAATAGAATGAAAGACAGATGGTCAAATTTTAGTATTGCCAGGTTAAAGACATTTCAAACCAAAGCAAATAACACCAATATTCTTGCAAAATAATTTGTTGATTACATATTTATTAATTATGTTCTAAAATTCTGGCAGGTTTTAAACCCTCGACGATTAACTTGGACAGACATATAACAATTCATTAGTATTGTAACAATGAAACAAATGGATCGTCAGAAAATATTCCTAAATGTAAAGTTTCTAAATGTAAAATGATCATATATTATGTTTAATGAGAAATTAAATATACATGAGAAGTCAGTGGGTCATTTCAATAAGAAACTTTGAATATCAACAAATCAGGCATCGGCGTCCGCAGAACATTTTTCAGGGGGGGCATAATTGTGATGACATTCATGCTCTGCCACATTGTGACAGTGTCATGAAGGGGAGGAGCATAGTCATTATCACATAAAGTGCAAGCATTCAAAAGGTTCGAGAAACCTGATGCAAAAGCTTAATAAAAGAATCAAGTTGCCATTGTCTGATTTGATTGTTGCAATTTTCTAGTCTGTTTTAATGTTAACACTATTCAATGTACCACATTAGTCATACACACATGACCAAGGCACTATAACTGAATTATAAAAATAAAAATGACTGCACACAAAGCTACCTGCGCAGCACTAGGTAGCATGCACAGCAGTTACTACAGTACTAGGAGACACTCACAACACTAGGTAGCATGCACAGTAGTTGCCACAGTACGAGGAGACATTCACAGCACTATCTACAGCACCAGATTGCACCCTCAACATTTCCCACACCTTATAAATGCCAGTAATAACATTAATAATAATAATAATAATAATAATAAAGGGACCTGGAGGGGGATCCACTAACAGCATCCATTATAGAGTATGTTAGAATTTCCTGTGTATCCGCCAATTTTCCCCTTTGTGTCTTACACCCCCCTTGTGTGTCTCTTACATTTCCCTTTGCATGTTTTCCTTTCCCCAGCCCCTTTCTGTGTCATTGTCCCCTTCCCCAGTTTCTCTGTGTGTCTCTTGGTCTTCTTCCCAGTATCTCTGTGTCCCTGTCCCCATTGCCAGCTCTTCTGTGTGTCATTGTCCCCTTCTCCAGCCCCTCTGTGTGTTCATGTCCCCTCCCAGCCCCTTAGTGTGTGTCATTGTCCTCTACTCTAGCCCCTCTGTGTGTTCCTATCCCCTTCCCAGGCCTTCTGTGTGTTCCTATCCCTTTCCCCAGCCCCACTCCTTGTCATTGTCTTCTTCTCCATTCCCTCTGTGTTTCGGCTCCCCACCCCTAGACTGCTAAATACATACACTAACTGCTATATACATGCACACACAGACTTCTGAGTACACAGACTGCTGAATACACACACACAGACACACAAACTGCTAAATAAACACACACAGACTGCTAAATACATGCAGAGACTGATGAATACATACACTCACTGCTGAATACACACAGACTGCTGAATACATACACTCACTCATAGGCCTGCGCAACCTATTGCATTAGGGTGTGCACCCTAAAGCACAAACACACACGCCGCGTATATATGTATGTATATGTATGTATGTATATATATATATATATATATATATATATATATATACACACACACACACACACACATACACTGCTGTGTGTGTGTGAGGGTGCTGTTAGTGTGTGTGTCTGTGCTGCCATGCCTGATCCCTGGTGGTCCTCGTGTGACCTCGCGAGAGGAACCCAGCGGAACTGCTGGCTAGAGCTCCCCAGGTCCTCTTCTGCCTGTGGGCCGGTGAACAGGGCTGGACTTGGACAAAAAGTCAGCCCAGGCAGAGCAGCCCACTAGTAAGAGTGGGCCAGAAATGTGGTGCGTTATATCAGCCACCAATGACAAGCACCCCCCGCCCTCCCAATTGTTATGTTAGTGTGATACCCCACCAGAGCATGCAGTGCTGTCTGATGGAAATAAAGTCCTAGTGACTTGTCTCTGGTGTCCCCAGTAGTGGGTACTGGAGAACACAAGTGGAAAAGGATTGTTAAAGTGTGTTTTGCACGTGTGGGAATGCTCCCTGCAGTGTTATATATGTTTGGATGTTTTTTATGTGATTGCATGTGTGTAGAGGAGACCGGTTATGCTATAGAGTGTAAAGGGGTCTGTTTGTGGTGTATAATATGTAGCTGGGGCCTGTAGTGTACAGGTGTGTTTTTGGGTTGTATATTATATGTGTGTGTGTGTGTTTATAGGGCCTTTAGAGTGTGTGTGCCTAGTGGTGTGTTGTGTTTGCATGTAAGGACTGTATTTCATGTATTTAGGAGTTGCATGGGGTGGCATTGTGTGTATGCATATAGGTGTTGTGCACATGTGTGTATTGGTGTGGTAATAATAGGGGGTGTAGTGTGTATTTAGGGGCACAATGGGTGCACAGGAGGTGTATATCGGCATAGTATGAATGCAGTGGTAGGGTGTTTATAGGGATATACAGTATGTAGTGCTTTTGTGTGTGTGTATGCAGTGTTATACGTGTGTTTATAGGGAGTATAGAGTGGGTGTAGTGATTGAGTGCAGTGTATAGGGGGTATAGAGTGTGTGTGAGTGCAGAGAGTGTAGTGTGTATGTAGGGGGTATAGTGTGTAGTGTGTATAGGTCAGGGGGTGTAATGTTATGTATAGGGGTTATAGTGTGTAGGTACAGGGGATGGTGTGTATATGTACAGGGGGTATAGTGTGTAGGTGCAGGGGGTGTAGTGTGTATGTATAGGGTGTGTAGGTGCAGGGGGTGTAGTGTGTATGTATAGGGGGTATAGTGTGTAGGTGCAAGGGGTGTAGTGCTATGTATAGGGGTATAGTGTGTGGAGCAGGTGCAGGGGGTGTAGTGTTATGTATAGGGGTATAGTGCAGGGGGTGTAGTGGGTATGTATAGGGGGTATAGTGTGTAGGTGCAGGGGGTGTAGTGTTATGTATGGGGATATAGTGTTATGTATGTGCAGGGTGTGTAGTGGGTATGTATAGGGGGCATAGTGTGTAGGTGCAGGGGGTGTAGTGTTATGTATGGGGGTATAGTGTTATGTATGGTGGTATAGTGTGTAGGTACAGGGGGTGTAGTGTTATGTATGGAGGTATAGTGTGTATGTGCAGGGGGTGTAGTGGGTATGTATAGGGGGTATAGAGCTGGGGGTGTGGGTATGTATAGGGGTATAGTGCAGGGGGTGTAGTGTTATGTATGGGGGTATAATGTGTAGGTGCAGGGGGTGTAGTGGGTATGTATAGGGTGTATAGTGTGTAGGTACAGGGGGTGTAGTGTTATGTATGGGGGTATAGTGTGTAGGTGCATGGTGTGTAGTGTTACGTATGGGGGTTTAGCGTGTAGGTGCAGGGGGTGTAGTGTTATGTATGGGGGTATAGTGTGTAGGTGCAGGGGGTGTATATGAGGTGTATAGTGTGTGTAGTGTGTAGGTGCAGTGTGTATATAGGGTGTAGTGAGTAAGTGGTGGGGTATAGTTTATGTAATATCATTATATAATTAATCTTGATTGTTTCATTATTTAAATTAAAAAAAAAAACCTACACATTTACTCCCCTTATTACCTTACTTTGCAGGTGGAAGAGGGAGCACGCTGCTGATCCTACCTGGTGATCCAGTGGGCTAGTGATGTGGTCTGTAACTCCGCAGGGTACAGACCATGCCTTCCTCTCGCGAGAGCTGGAGATTCAGAGCGTTGCTGTGGGTTACCATGGCCATGCTCTGAAAATCTCGGAGATCGCGAGAGGGCTGCCCTGCGTGCAGCCTGGCGGTGCTTTGCTCCGTAACCAAACGGAACGGAGCACTTCAGAGCCTCTCTCCAGGCTAATCTGTTGTGCTTGAGCCGGCAAGGGAGATATTTTGATCTTCCCTGCCAGCCTCGATCCATGCGCGGCGCGCAGGGATTAGGGTGTGCCCAGGCACACCCGGCACACCGTGTGCACACGCCTATGACTCACTGCTGAATACACAAATACACACACAACAGCAGCTCTCTCTCATTTATTGAGAACACCAAGTATCCAGTCCTTGCAATAGGTTCAATATGACATTTTCCGTAGGCTATGATATAGTTATAAGGTTATTAAAGGCTAGGATAAGAGAGAGAAGTTTGATAGGACCTGCTAGAAAGACTACAGGCTTCTCGTGACTTACAGCTGCAGTCTAGGAGCAAAATAACAGGTTTCTGACATGTTGAACATTAGGAAAGAGTATGCTGCCCTTTCCCAGTGTATTGTGTATGCTTTGTGCTGTCCTAAACACACTGTGGACAGCAGTAATGTACCTAGTTAACTCTTTAATGGCTGTAACAATTTCCCTTTTCTCTAATGTATCATAGTCCACATATGTGGTAATAGTAAATATGCCTACATGGGACATACAGCAGAGATGGAACTTTACAAAAAAAATAGGGACTACATCCTCCTACTCTGACTTCATACATGAAGTCCTGCATTATCTTCTATAATCCCCATACCTTACTTACCTGATCTGTATGCTGCCCCCCATAGCTCACTTGCCTGATCTGTAGGCTGCCCCCCCATGCCTCACTTACCTGATTTGTAGGCTGCCCCCCTTCCCTCATGTACCTGATCTGTAGGCTGTCTCTGCAGTCTGGGAGTTGCTGGCTGCACTCTGTGCTGCTCCCCTGCGGATTCAGTCAGAAGAGAGAAGCAGGGATAAGATGTAGCTTCCTATCCCTTCCACTTTCCACATACAGCATCACCTACTGTCTGGCACCGACATTGCACAGTATTCTCAATCACATAAGAAAAATACCAGCACAAGCTAAAAAATCCAGAGGGGTGTAAGTGCCCCCCGTTGCCCCTTTCCTGCGGATGCCCATGAAATCATGTAAGAACAAACACTTATGCAGCCTGTTTAATCTTTCTAGAATGAAAAAAAAAGACATTGCAAATCAAAAGACATTCTAAATCTGAAAATGACAGATTATATTCTAGATCAGGAATAGGCAACTTTTGGCACTCCCGATGTTGTGGACTACATCCACCATAATGCTCTTACACCCGTAATGCTGGCAAAGCATCATGGGATGTGTAGTCCAAAACATCTGGAGTACCGAAGGTTACCTATGCCTGTTCTAGATTATCAAGGTGATGATATGCATTTTTTCAAGAGTTGTAAAAATACTAATAAATGGACTAAAAAGGATTTAATGTTCTTAAGAAGCTAAATTGGCCATCACATACTATAATTCTGATGTCTTACAAATATTTATTTTATAATCTACAAAATTGCACCTTGAAAATTAGAGGGAACCCAACATTTTTAAACCATAGACTAATACTTTGACGGTCAATTATAACTTTTGTTAATCTTTCTTTCACATGATGCAAGCTTTTTTAAATTTGTATTAAAGATGTAGTGAATTACATCACATCCTAGTTCAGTCCAGCTTAGCCAGGCAAATACACAATATGCACAAAATCAAACCATTTTTACAGGTGTATAAAATCAAGAACCTTGCCCTGCAGACTGCATATGCAAACATCTGTGAAAAGAAAAAGTCATTTTGAGGAGCTCAGTGAATTCCACTTATGTCCATGCTGACCAATTCATGTATTGTATAGAACATTGTACCATTTCTCATAACAGGATATACTGATAAATCTTCTCCATGGTTTAATTTCTCCTCTTCTCGGTATACTTTCTCGATGCTAACAGCCAAGTTAACATGGAGGTTCTTAATTGTGGAATAAAAAGCTGTGAAGTTCTACATTTAAGATTGTTTTTGTAACTCAAATATATATTAAATAAACCTAAACACCCATCAATCCAATGCAACCTTCACAAACCATCAGCCACAACCATCCAAAATACTTTTCCAAAATGTTTGTTAAAAACAAGACAGAATACATATACCAGTGCCTCTAGCTTAGCTTCATTAGTTCCTTTCTTTCACTGCTGTTCTTTTACATTGCAACTTGAAGCCTCCATTCTTTTTGTGGAGTGAATGTTTGGTGTATGTATTAAAATGTCTGCCAACATGCACAACAACTTGTAACAGTAACCAAGCCAACAGAAATCCAAATAACTTATGGTAAAGAAAAATTCTACTTACATTTCAAGAAATTATCAAGATGTTTTCCACTGCATGAAAAGAGCGAGTATTTACTTCAAGAAGGCACATGAAATGTAAATACCTTTCTTCTTACTACAGGATGTAAATAGGAATATATATATATATATATATATATATATATATATATATAATGGTGCAAAAAGAAAGGTTTATCACTTGTATTCTGTCTGTAAGGTGAAGATCCAGCTCAATCCAGTCCGAAGTCTCTCTGTTTTGGTGAGATAGAAAATACTTGTGGTAAGAAAAAAAGAGCAGTGAAATAAAACCAGTAAAGTAATAAGAGCCTTGAAGTGTTCTCAGATGGTATATGAAATTAAACAAAGATGGGACAATGGAGAAGTATTTGGTTCAGTATTTTTATGATATGGAAAATGAAGAAAGAAATGCACTTTTGTGGGTGTGGGTGGCACAATCCCCACTAAGGGTGCTTTTTGTATATCTTGGTCCCAATTATTAGTCCAGGAGGTCTGTAATAAAAACAAAATAAAGACAATATAGTGTAGTATATTCGAGTACTGTAGGTGGAATTATAATACAATTAAAA